GACACTGATTTTCTTCAGGCTGCAGGAGATCACAAAGGGGGACAGGGAGGAGGAAAGGGGGAGATGTAACTATTATGTTATTGATACCATCTGTTTTTGTCATAACTCCATCTAAGAAAATATTTCTAAAAGCTGGAAAAGTCTAAGTAAAATAATTATTATATGTTATGTTAAACTATGGCAGGGAGAAGTAATATCATTTAGATGAAGTATAAGGAATCTCAAAGGACCATATTAACGGACTGTATCATATAAAATACAAAGTCTTCTACTTGTAAAAAGATACCATGATAAAAAGCTAAGCAATGAACTAGCAAAATTTTCTAAAACAGCAGAGGAAAGATTAATATATATACAATGTATGGCAATATATATATATGTGTGAGGAAAAAGTGATAACATGAAATGCTATATATGAGGACTTTTTCAAATTTGGTAAAGCGTTCACATGATCTATAAGATAACTGCTCCACTGGAATAGATGAATCACCAAATGAAATTAAGTAATAAAAAAGTTCACTACCCAGTGAACAAAATTTTTCAACCACATAAAATTTAAGGCATAAATTAAAACAATAAGGTAACAAAACAATAAATATTATTTAATATTTATTAAAATACTAATGTTACAACAAATGAGGACACAGTAAGGCTGTTACTCTCATGTGCTGCTGATAATTCATACATTGGTGGTGAGGACACTAATTAGCATAAGTCCTTCTGGAAAGCAATTAGTAGTGTATATGAAAAGCTATAAAAAGGTTCACATTATATTTGACCCACACATGTTATTCTTAGCACTCTATATTAAGAAACAATTCTAAATAAAGAAAAACATATAAAGATGTATGATTATTTGATTGTAGGAGAAAGCACCACAGAATAATGAATATAATTGTGTAAACATAAAAATTAAAAATTTTTAATATTTTAATGATGGTTATCACTTAGTAAAAGGATAACAGGATTTTTTTGTTTGTTTTTTTGTTTTTTTTTTGAGATGGAGCCTCAAGCTGTCACCCTAGGTAGAGTGCCATGGTGTCACAGCTCAAAGCAACCTCCAACTC